GCAGATTGCCTTTCCTTTTGCTAATTGGTAGTTGACTAGTAATAGGTAGTTTACTGGCACTAGAATTCCGAAACGGAAGGAACATTCGCGGGTCGGCTTTTGCTCTTGTTTTCTTTTTGATTGTTTAGATTAGAGACAGTTTTGGCTCCCTTGGTTTTGGGGGTCCAATTCCTCCGTTTCTTTATTTCCTCTTTTCCGTCCCTTCTAGGAGGACGACTGGAACATAGCTTTGTTTTCGATAATTACTTCTGTAATTTTGCATGGGATTTCCTCCATGTAGATGAACTAAGTTTCTACTTCTACTTAAAGAACAACGGAGGCTTTGTTTTATCCAAAAATTATGAGATCAAATTAATTTTATTTATTCCTCTTATTTACTGGTTTTTGCATATTCTCTATTTGCAATATTTATGGTTGTTTTGTTAATTGAATACTCTAGGCCTGGACGTTGAATAAATTTAGCAACCTAACATCAATTGGAGCATTGAATCCGTGATTGTTCAATTGCTCTAAAATAGTGACAACTAGCATGATTGGGTTTGTGTTAGGAGAATACGCAGGCTAATCTAAAATAACTCTGGTAATGTGTTATTTGGTTAGAATAAGACTCCTCTAATACGTAAGGCAATTGGGAAACTAAATCTTACGGACGTACCTAAGGTTATTTCTCAATTAGAGTAGTGATTGACGGGCGTACCTCAGTCATCGACACAGTAAGGAGGAGTTGACTGTCATCGCTTGTTTGACAGTTATAACTTATTTACTAGTTAATAATTGAAATTATTTCTGCATCGATGATCAATTAGTTGAACCATTGCTGAAATTATTTCTTGACTAGAGCTTAGCTATTGTTAATTTGGTTTTAGTGAATTGTCATTTAATTTTTAGTTAGCTATTTAATTTTATTCAAACTGTTTAATTATTGCCATTGCTATAAAAACCCCCCATTGTTAGTTTGAACTCCGAAAGAAACGAATATCCCTAGTCCCTGTGAATTCGACCCTGCTTATTACTATCTATTGAAATTAACTCTAGTTTGAGCAGATATTTATTATTGCACAGGTTTCGACAACCTGTCAATAGCAAACATTTTCCACCATCTCCATAAAGTCCTAACGAATCCCCATGAACCACAAAAGTGCTAACAGACCTCAATGACCCACCAACGAGCCAAGATGTAAAAGGTTCAACATGTCCCAACGAGTCAAAATGCACAAAAGTTTCAACAGATCAGAGTGGGTTAAAATATCGAACGTAGTAATCTTGCTTCACTTTTTTCATAAAATCCTCAATGAGTTCCAATGGGTCAAATAACTCTCTTCAAAACTCAACTCAACTCCAACGCGAGATTTTTCTTCACTCTCTATAGCGTTAAATTAATATTTCAGAATTGATATTGATAGTCTATTATCATCATCGTTCCCGCCGAACCCAGAATCTGAAACTTTGATACTAACTTGTTAGATTTAATTCCAGAAAATTGACCAACAAGAACAATAGGGTTCTTCGTAATTCAATAAAAACAATAACAAAGCAAATAAAAAAACAGAAAGATTATAGGGTGCAAAATTATTATTAAATTTGTAATTACTTTCTCCTTGATTTTAGCCAATATTATTTTAATTGGTAGATTCTATTTATATTTGGTTAATTATGCTAATTATAGGGAGGTGGACCAAAAAGTGATAAAAAATGTGATTTTTCAAGAATTACTTTCAAGTCCAGAAGACTCAAAAATTTATCGCATCCGGAGATTTCCCAATTCGAGTCAAATATGAACATCTTCGTTGGAAGTTGGAAGACTTTAATTATCTTTCTTAGTTGTAGAGTTGAATTAGGAAACATGAGTTATTATCGTTTTTATTTCCTTTTTTTTTAGACAATAGGTCTTTATTATGAGTAGTAGACGTCAACTAGGAAACAAAGAATAAGGGAAGCCGGATTCCCATTTGATTTGCACTTTGTAGGGTGGAAACTAGGGGTGGGCAAAATTATCCGCTAACCCGAAAACCCGTTATATCCGATCCGATCCGATCCGATCCGAAAATTAGGATATCCGATTTTTATTATTTGATCGGGTCAAAAGAGGGTCGGGTACCCACTAAGATGGGGGCGGGTTAGGGTCACATAATTAAAACCCGCGGGTACCCGATCTGTCCCGTATATATATTTTTTTATTTTATTTTTATTTTTATAGAATAATAAGAACTAAATAAGTAATTTTATTTAACAAATTGCATTACAAATATGAGAGACTATAGTTTTATTTACAAGATTCATTTGTAGAGACCATGATCTTATATTTTATAAAAAAAGTTTAATTAATGTGGAACATATATATTAAATATTGTGCTACTTATTTCAAACTTTTATTGATTTCGAATTCTTTTAATTTTTTCCTTTATCTTATATTTTCTTCACATGCTTGTTTCTTGGTGGGAAACCTTTTTTTAGAAAAAAAAATTTATTCAATCTTAGATGAATGTGTAAAATATAAAATTAAATTGGTATAAATTATTTTTTAAAATTAAATGATAAATGGGGCGGGGCGGGACGGGACGGGTACCCGCTGACCCGACCCTATCTCAGCGGGTACCCAATTATAGGGTTGGGTACCCGCTGATATACGGGACGGGTAAGGATCAAAAAATGACTGACCTACAAGAAGCGGGTCGGATCAGCCAAATGGTGAATGGGGCGGGTACCCGACCCACGTTCACCCCTAGTGGAAACAATAAAAAGGAGGTCTCTCGGATTGATCGTCCTGCGTCAAGCCAAAGCGGGGAGCTTCCTCTTCGTCTTTTTAGTTCCTTCATTCTTTTCCGACATTTTCTTTATTCCATTGTCGAACATTCATGCAAGTTTGGTCAATGAAATTGGTTGGATTGTTCTTAATGGAGAGTAGTTAATTTCTTTTTCTAATCGAAGGTCAGCTTGAAGGCGCGGTTCCAAACATTTATGAGATCGAAATAATTTTATTTATTTCTTTTATTTATTGGTATTTGTACGTTTTGTAGTTTAACTTTTTATGATTGTTTTGTTATTTGAATGTCAAGGGTCCGATATTCGAATTAACCTAATAATCTATTGTCAGATTAATTGATTGAATCCGTAATTGTTTAATCGATTCATACTAGTGGCAACTAGCATGATTGATCCTATGTTAGGGAAACGTATGATCTAACTTAAACAAACTCTCATAACGTGTTTGTTGGTTAGGCTTGGGTTTTTCTAATTCTTAATGCAATTGAAGAATAAAATCCTATGGTTGTATCTACGGTTATCTTTTGGTTAGAAAAATAGTTAACGGTCGTATCTTGGCTACCAATAAAGTAAGGAAAAATTGGTTGTCAGAACTTGTTGATGGCTATAACTAATTTATTAATAAGTAATTGAATTATCTTTGCATTAACGACCAGTTGTATGGATCGTGTTTGAAAAGTTGCACCTTTGGTTAGAGTCGTATCTATTGTTGATTAATTCTCATTTTTTTTCATTTTTTTTCCAAACGATAACATTATTTTCATGAGTTGCTTTTATTTAGTTTAATTGGTTATTTTTATATTTTTATAAAAGTCCCCCATACTCCGAATTGTGGAAGAAACGAATTATCTCCAGTCCCTGTGGATTCGACCATATTTACCGCTATATATAAAAATTATATTTTTTTCTTGAGTAGGTATTTATTATTGTACATGGTCGACACCTATCAAAAGACACAAAATTTTACGTGGTTCGGTCGAATTGACCTACGTTCATGGGTGAAAGAGTAGTAAATTTACTATAACAAAAAAATAATATAAAAAAGAGTACAAAATCTTAGGAAATAATTCCAAAACTCAAAAGGCACGTAAAACTGAGAACATAAAAAAGACTAAATATAATAAAATGTTTAATGGTCCAAATGCCCATTACTTGCTCTTTCAATTTGATGCCTAACCAAAACTACTCTCAGATTGGGGTGTAGGCCTCCTAAAATTCTTTTGGGTTAGTGCATACAACACTTGAGCTGATGCCTTTAGCACATTTAAATTCATTTAAATCCATTGTAATTATAACCACTAAGATGAGAGATTTTTTTGTAAAACTCCCAATCTAGGAGATAAAGACAGACTCAACAACAGAATTGAATAATGCAAGTGGCAAATTGGGGACAAGAAGGAGGAGGAGGAGGAAAGATTCGAAGTACTGAGTGGGTACAAAATACTCACTTAATCTCATTATTAGGCTCAGGTCGGATAGCTACACTACTAAATCTAGCAGAAGGAAATTGTAGAAGTAGATTAGGGGTGCAAACAAATAGAGTCGAGTTAAGTTTAGACCTAACAAGGCGAGTCTCAATATAATTTTATGAAACTAACTCGAACTCGAATTCGAGTTCGACGAGCTCAAAATATCAAATTCGAGTTCGAGTTCAACTTCGAGTTTGAGCTCAACTCAAATTCGAGTCTAGCTCGAGTTTAAAAAATAAAAAAATAAATATTTTATTTTTAAAAGATAAATAAAATAATAAATTTTCTTAATAAATAATAAAATATTAGGAATATATATGTAATTTTACTATTAAAATAAATAATATATATATAATCAAGTTCGAGCTGACTTGTAAGCTAACCAATTTAATATTTTTGAGCTCAAGTTCGAGCTCGAATTCGACTTGGTCAGTTCGATCTTGACTTGAGCTCGATGTTAACCAAGTTCGAGTCAAATTCGAAATTGAGCCGCTCACGATTTCGATTCATTTGCAGCCCTAAATCTAGCGGCAGACTGGATTCATTTTCAATTCTGTCATGCTTATTGATACTAGTTAGTACCTTGCAAAATGCTTGATGGTTTAAGTTTATTTATGATACAGAACGATGAACCTGATATAGCACGACGAACTGGGATTCTGGAACTTAACGTTTGAATCAATATAAATGCCACATAGGATTCTTAATTTTTAAGAGTACTTAAAGAAAGCCCAAAACATTCTTGGAAATATAACTAAAATCCGACTAAAAAAAAGGTTGCTTCATTTAAATCTTTAGAAACAACAATAATCCTGGGAGCTGTCCGCACCACACAGTTTGAGACAGGATAAAGCGTATTAAAACAACAAGAATAGCATGATCTTGATGGTAGACTAATGCAACAGTACCAGTAATAGTACAAAACTAGAAAATTAATAGAAAATGTAAAATGAGTGAATTGACTGACCAAACCAAACGTACGTGAGAAGATCAGTAATCCATTTCATGGGATGACATGTGGATTTTCAGATCAGTGTTTCCCATGTCCATTTGTTCCTCCTGAAGTGGCTGTATAAAACTTGCAGAGAAGGGACAATCAGAGGCCTCAATTATTTCAAGAGTTGAACTCCCCAAACTAGAAGGGATCTCCTCCAAAAAGAGACAGTCTTCCAATACTAGGAAAACAGTCCAAGCATTCGGAGGCTGTCCACTTGACAATATCCATGAAAGCTAATTTCAAGATTCTGACTTTAGGGAACCCCTCTTCTTCCACATTCCATATTTCCCCCTTGAAGGCTTGACTAAGTAATTTGAGAACCTCCAGATTGGGTAGATTTTCGATTGCTGAAATTTTGCTCCAAGGGAAAAGAAAACCTGATAGAGTGGGAAAAGGCAACAAATTTGTAACAATTATGCAGCCAAGCAGTAGTATTAACTTACAGAATCTTGGGGACACTCTTGGAATCATCAGTAAAATCTTGGGGGGGGGGAGGGGGAAGATAGCTTCTTCATTCATTGCAATCTTTAGAAACAACATGAATCCTGGGAATGATCCCACCACACAGTTTGAGACAGGATAAGAAGCATTAAAGCAACCAGATTAACGGATCTTAATACTAGACTGATACAGCAAAGCCAGTAGTACAGAAGTAAAGTACTAGGGGAAAAAAAACAGGTAAAAGGAGTGAAAGGGGCTGCCCAAACCAAAGATACTTGAGAAGATTAGTAGTCTACCTTATGAAATAAGGATCTTCAGATCAGTATTTCCCAAGTCCATTTGTTCTTCCTGAAGTGGCTCTATAAATCTTGCAGAGAAGGGACAATGAGACACCTCAATAATTTCAAGAGTCGAACTCCCCAAACAAGAAGGGATCTCCTTTAAAGAGCGACAGCTTTTCAATGCTAGTTTCTGTAGACTTGGAAAACAGTCCACGCCCTCGTAGGCAGTCCACTTGACAATATCCAAGGCAGCTATTTTCAGAAATCTAACTTTAGGGAACCCCACTTTTTCCATGTTCCATATTTCGCCCTTGAAGGCTTGAACAGTAATTTGAGAACCTCAAGATTGGGAAGATTTTCGATTGCAGAAATTTTGCTCCAAGGGAAAAGAAAACCGCATAGAGTCAACTTTCTAATTGCCAAAGGGAATTGAAACTCAAACTGGCATGGATTTGGAAGACGTGTAAAATGATTGAACATCAGATACAGTGATTTTAGTCCACTTAGAAAGTCAAGTACTATAATCTTGTCTGCTGAAACCCAATTATGTTCATTATATGCAATGAGAATGCATTCCAGCTTGTGAATATTAGGAATTTTACTGAATACCTTGCGGACGATATCCAAAGAAGAAAGAGATACTCGGGTGAAGGTATTCAAATCACACAAGTTTGCAGCTGTGTCAAGATTGTCTGTGGGTAACAAAAATGAACAAACAGATGCAAAGTAGGTGTCCCTTATTTGTAAGTGCCTTAGCTTTTTCAGATTCCATATTGTATCAGGTAGTAAAACAGTCCGAACTACTGTTTTCAGGATGAAAGTTTCCAAATTCGAGAGATTGGCTATGGAAGATGGAATTGAATCCATATTTCCTAGAATTGCCAAGTATCTCAATTGAACCAATAATTCTAGTTCTCTAGGAAAAGTAGTACCTAGATTTATGTCGCTCAATTCTAACACTCTAACAAGTTTGAAGATACCATAAATGGATGAAATCTCAAATTCACGATGTCGGTGCCTTTTGCCTCCATCGGAGTGTATTAGAGAATGGATTGTGGGAGCAAATAACCTGGACTTGCAAAAGTGCTCTGGGTTAGAGTTGATGCATAGGCGGCGTAGGTTGCGTGTAGAGCTGGCAAAAAAGCCCAAAACCCAACAACCCGCCCAACCCGCCCATTAATTTTAAGGGATGGGTTGGGTCAATTGGGTTATGGGTTTTATTGGGTTGGGTAAGAACAACCCAACTTATTCATTGGGCGGGTTGGGTTTTTTATTTGGGTACCCAATACCCAACTTGTTTAAAAGTAATTTGAAATAATAAATACAAGATTTAATACACATATGCCCAACTATTTACATTTGGACATGTGTTAATAATTCATTAATTAATTTGTATTCAAAATTCTCATATATATATATATATATTTTTTTTCAATCATGTTTTTAAATTTTTATTTAAAATAAAAAAGAAATTTAAAATAAAAACTCATGCTTATTTTACTTTTATAACAATAGTTAAACTTGCTCAACTTTTATAATCAACAAAGTAGTACAAGCCCGTGGCTAAAATGCCACAAAAGTAAGGTTGTTATCACATCAAGTCAAACCTGAATTATGTATTATTTGAGTTCTATTCGAGTAAAAATATTTGGATTTGAGTTTTAACTCAAACTCTTCGAGTTTTTAATAATTAATCTTGAACTCGAGTTATCATATTCAAGTTTGAGTTCGAACTCGACCAAATAGAATTTATATAAAAGTTTCCAATAACAAACTGAAAGGAAGAAAGAAAACGCAAACGCAAGGTGTCTTAATTACAAAATTCACTATAGTTATACTATGGGTTGTTGAAGCTTCTCTTGTTTATGAAAAATGAAAACACATAGGCTCCATATGGATTAGGCATTTTTGAAAGTGTTTTTGAAATAAAAAAAAACTACAAGAAGTCCTACAACAAAATAACATGTTGAAATTATAAATGAGAGACAACTTCTAGGATTGACTTTTTGTGTGGCTGGATGGGCATAATGAAAGCACATACACATTTTATTTCCAATTTGGATATTAAAGAAAAATAAGACCTTGTTTGGATTGCTATTTTTAGGAGTTTTTGTAATATATATATATATATATATATATATATATATACTGTAACAATTTGGTGTATGTGAGGTAAAAAGGTAATTGAAAATGTGTTCACGGAAAATATAAAAATTTTCCATCAAAAAATCACATTCTACAAGTTCTTTGAATTGTGGTTGTAATGTAAATTCAGAATGAAGAAATCAAAATTAGAAACATGTAATTAAGATCAAACAACTTAACCCTATGCCTAGTAGAGAAAATAATAGTTGGTTATGGGACCAAATTTTCAGCACGTAATCAACTTTATTTAGTTGATCCATCTATATATTTTTCTTAAACTGCTTTTAGTAAATAGCCTACACTTCCCTTGCCATCTATATTCTTGTAACACTTTATTTACTAAATCACATGTTTATGTGGAATTGGAAGTTTGGATCCTAGTATGAATACAAAAATGTTTCGTTTTCTTTTAAAATATGGCCACGAATTAAAATCTTCTTTGTTTCGTTGACGCTGCTTGGAATTCATGGTGGTGGCTAATTCAAATGCAAGTGCTAATCTACCAAGTGATTCTTTGCTTAATAGAATTCTGATATAACATGTTTGAAGAATGAAAAGAATTAGAGAAGTTAAGTTTTGAAAACTTTGTTGATTATAGAAGAAAGAGAGGGGGGGAGGGGAACTAATTCCATCGAACTTCAATTAGTAGTATTAAAAAAGTACAAAGTAAACAATTTTTTTAGCTAATCTATTTAAATGTATAATTTATTATCTAAAATTCACAATACAAGCAATATAAAATATTATTCTATTTATGATGTGTTTCCAAGGAACTTAAGAAGTGAGTGTGTGTTTGTGTGTGTGAAAATACATTTATATATGTGAAAAAAATCTTTTTTGTGTGTTAAAATGTATGTGAAAAAGTTTATGTATTAAAATGTATGAATTAATTTGTTGGGTCATAGTTGGGTCATGGGTTTGAGATAACCCAATATGACCCAACCCAAAATCAACCCAATCTAAAGTTGGGCGGGTTGGGTATAACCCAATTAAGTGAAGACCCAATATTAATCCGCCCAAAACCCGCCCAACCCGCCCAATTGCCAGGTATAGTTGCGTGGCACTCTGAAAGTATTTATCTCATCATACCCACGCACCAGCTGCAGAAAATTTTCTTCTTTGCCTTTTGTCACACAAAACTCATGCAGCAAATCATGAACGCGACAAGCTTTGACACCACCAATGGATCTTTGCTTGGAAACAATGACCAAGCTTCTGTGGATAAGATCCATTAAGAAATCATTTGCCACATCCTCTGCACTCTTGAACTGAGTTTTCTGGGTAAATCCTTCAGCGCCCCATAACCAAATCAACTTCTCAGCAGTGTGTTCATGGTCTTCGGGAAATGCTCCGAAGTATAGAAAGAATGGCTTCAAATTTTCTGGTAGGTTCTTGTAACTCAACTCTATTGCAGCAGAGCATTGTTCTGTACTAGAGACGATTCTTGAACTTAAACCATCCACAAGTGCTTTCCAACCATGTTGGTCCTCATTTGCTAGAATTCCAGCTAGAATGATGATTGTAAGTGGCAGTCCTTGACACATTTCCACGATTTTCGTTTGCAAATCGCATAATTCTGGTGGAGGCAAATCATTTCCAGGAAATAACTTCATATTTAGCAAGTCCCAGCTCTCATAAGGGGTCAGCAGACGGAGGAAATGAGGCCCTTCATCAAGTTCATCTATCGGATCAGCAACATCAGACTTTCTACTTGTCACGATCACTCTACTTCCATTTCGATTGTCAGGGAATGATGCTTCCAATTCATTCCATGCTTCAGTGTCCCATATATCATCCAAAACAATGAGATATCTAGTCCTTAGCAGACCTCTTCTGACTTCTGCAGCCAAATCTTCTTCACACATCTCAGAAAAATTGTTAGGAGGCTTGGAGTGAATACAAGTCGAAATTTCAAGTAACAGATTTTTTCTGTGATACACTTGAGAGACAGTACACCAAGCACGTGCATAAAAATGTGATGTAACTAAAGAATTATTGTAAACCTTTTTAGCTAAAGTTGTCTTGCCAAGTCCTGGCATACCTACAATGGGGAGAATTTGCAGTTGGGATGATCCTCTTGTGAGTCGATTGATTATTGAGGTTGCCTCATCCTCCAATCCCAGGATCATGTCATTGATTATTGGCATGCTGCCCTGTGATGACATGTTATTTGGTCTCTTGGTAACTTCCTTAACATTGAGATCAAGTGTTTTTTTTTCAAAAATGTTCAAGGCCGCAGCTTTGATGATCTTAATTTCTTCTTCAACGGAATCAAATGAGATTGAAGAAGAATCTAGATTGTCTCCAACCAACAAGGAGTCGATAAGAAATTCTACCTTGTATGCCACCTCAACAACACGATCCCAAAGTGCTTGAAGCTCCCGATCTTCATTGTGCAATTCCACAATTCTTCCCAAGAAGAAGCGCAAGTAAACAAGTTCTTCATGGATTGCATGAATTGGATAGTTTGAAAGAGCAACTGAATGGGCATCTGGATTTGTCAAATCTTCCATATATTTTAGAAGAAAATCGATAAATCCCAACTCATTAGTCCTAGGAAACTTGGATGACGGTGATGTTTCTGGATATTTCTCTGCAACTATTGCCTTGATAAGCTTTATTCTTTTCAAGAAATGATGAAAAGACTGAAGATCCATTTGCTTGACATATCCATCTTTAATTACACTGAGAGAAAGGGAAAAAATAACAAGTCCTGCATCACAGAGCAAGAGTCCAGTAAGATCTCTCATTTTCTCATCAAAATTGTTGGGGTTCTCCTTGAGAATGATTCTCAAGGATCTCAGCCCGTCATAAAGCATTTTCAATCGATCCTTCAAAGAAATCATAATACAAGTTCCAGTCTTTAGTATCTCCCAAAGATAGACTAGGAGAGAATCGATGAAGTCTCTGAATATGTTCTCATCTTTTTCCTTGTATGGTTGTCATGATAACTTTGAAGAAATCAGGGCCTGGACACATGTCTTATGGACTTCGGGTTCTGCAAAAATGATCTTCTGCAGCAGGTCCTGAATAGGATTGTCACGTGACATGGACGACTTAGAGAACAACACTCCATTGTTGCATGCTGCATTGACGGCAACAGATTTAATGTGAGTCAATAAAGGTCCCAATTGCCTATCTTCGAAGCCATGAAGTGTAAGAAAACAGACGAAGTTTTTCAAGAATGTCAGCTTCTCTGCAAAGTCTTCGGATAGTTCTGCATAACCTGCATAGAGTGCCTGGTTCTCTGCAAAATAAACAATGTATCGAGGGCTCTCCAGAAGAGAGTCCATGATATCCATTAGGTCATCTTTCTTCACCGGGGACTTGCTAGACAGGCTTGTCCAGTACTCTAAATCCTTGATTTCTTCTACGAGAGATGACGCTTCTTCTTCTAGATCATCGGGGATATGGGCCGCAAGTTCCATACGATATCCATCTTCCACACTAGTAAGATAGAACTTGTGAATCGCATGTCCCCGTTTGGAAATGTAATCTTTCATCCTAACAACCAGTGCTCCTAAATTTGCGACGTCATCATCGCCCCACTTTCTCACGCATAGTAGAAATGTTCTGAAAATTCCTAGATATATTTTTAATGACATCATTTCAAAGAGCTCGCACTCCCAATCTGAAGTTTTAGGACACAGGTTCTCCAGCAACTGCAGATCATCCAAGACGGCTGAAATGCAAGTAAGACAACTGGAGGCCATTTAACAAAAGGAAGATGAGATAAATTTAGAGATGAAACAAGTCAACGAATATGGCTAGGAATGATGAAAAAAAGTTCTAGAGAACTCTCTTTCAGAAACTAGGATAGCTCGAGGTTTTTGAGAGGATTTGTGTACAGTCGTCCAATATAGAGGTTGTTTAGTTATGAGCTGGTAAAGAGCTGGTGCTGGAATTGGTGGGATAATTTGGGGAAAATTCTAAAATTGTGATGGAAAAAATAAGTTATTCTACAAGGGAGGCCATTTTTGAGTTTAGTTCTAGCATTAGGGTCTTCGCATTTGTGAAATGCGAGTTCATTGACATCGCATTTCACAAATGCGAGGTTATTGTTCCGGAAAAAGATGAGAAATGTTGTGCGAAAAAGAAAAACGACAACACAAAGCTCGCATGTGTGGAATGCGAGGTGAGGTACCTCGCATTTGTGAAATGCGAGGTGAGGTACCTCGCATTCGACAAATGCGAGATACTCAGTCTGAAACCCAATTCAAATATGTCTCGTAGCCGGCAGAAATTGGAGGTCACTTTCTCGTCTCCTTTGCTAAGGTAGTCAGTGCTCCAAGCATCTCAGTTCTCCGCCATTGCCATTGTAGACGAAATCGCTCACATCTCGGCAGAGGAAATCCCTCACATCTTTGTCGTCGGAAGCTGTCCGCTGAAACCAAGCTGTCCCATTTCTGCCAAGCTATCTAGAATCCGTGCATCTCCCCCCCTCCCTCCCAATTTGCCAGAAGAGGTATGAATTTATCTTTTTTTTTTGTTTCTTAGTTTGTTTGTTGTTTCCAGAGGATTTTTGTTTTGCTGAATTGAGCTGGCTGTTCTGTTTTGGCAATCTATTAATCGTTCTTGTTCTTTCGGTTTGACTCGCATTAGCTTGCCATGCCTTAGCCTGACAATTAGTTTCGAAAAGAGAGAAAAAGTTTGGAAAATCGCAGTTTCTGCAATTATTGCAGAGAAAAAAAGATCCAAGCTCAGATCGAAGTTAATCCAGAAGGATCCGACACCGGATCCAAGATACGAGCTCGGATCCAAGTAAACCCGGTCGGATCCGAGGGATCGTCTGTGTTCCTGGTGAGACCGATCCGAGGCTTGTAGGATCCGAGGACTTCAACAACCGATCCGTGCTCGGATCGGTTCGCGATATGTCTGAAACCGAGGGCTCGATTCCTCAGTTTCCAGATTTCCTCTTCCCTCTTCTCACCGAAACCCTAATTTTCCATTTCATCCATAAAACTTTCAATTTTTCACAATAAAAACCTTCCCTAAGCTCAAGCTCTTGTGAGCATTAAAAAAAGTAATTACACTTTTAAGTAATGACAATGTGTAATTGTTAATCATAATAAATATATATATTTTTCGAAATATATATAATAAAAAGTAATTTTTTCAAAATATATATATATCTATTATGAATAATAAATTACAATAAACAAATAAAATTTGGAAATGATTATTATGCTGGATCTTTATTTTTGCATTTATAGCAAATTATATCTCGTACTCTATAAGAAAAATAATCACGTAATAATCGTTTGATAAAGGGTTAAATGTAAAAAACCCTTATAAACTATTTACCCAATTACAGTTTATCCCCTAAACTATAATAATAGGCATTTTTGCCCTCTTGAATGATATGTTTGAAAAAATTTACCCCTTTTAATGTATCATATTTGTTAATTTTCTTTTTAAATTCTTCCTTTTTTTCTTTAAACAATAGTTTAAATAAGTAGACTAGATTAGTCAAAATTTGTTTATTTCTTAATTTCGTAGGTCAATATTTTATACAAAAAAATGTATGTGAGTAAAAGATTTTTTTTCCCAAATGTTGAATTCAATGTCATTTAAGAATTTTAACTTTTCAAATATATAATAACAAAATAGAGAAATTGATTAATCAGTTATTAGTAGTATCAATAACAAAAAAAATAAACTACTAGTGTTGTTCATTCTTATTTTGTATTTCACTACAAATAATAATTGTTAACTTTTCTTTCTTATGTGGTATATAATATGTTGCTTTTATTATAAGTAGTTGAGGAACTACGAATTCTTAATTAGTTTATAGGTACTTAAATTATTGAATTACTAGATTAATACACTTTACAAAAATTGTTGACTTACTACATTAATACACTTTACATAGTATTGTACTACTAATTCTAATTTATTTTTTCCAACATAGGGATTGTTTTCTTTGATATGTCTATAAAAAGACCTCTGCGAGTATCCCTTTATTGGGGAGGTAAAATACACTATGAAGATGGGTCAATTTGTTATTTGCCTCGTACCTCCAACCGTACATTCTCATTACGGCATAGAATTGGATATGATGAGCTGCTGGATAGAATTTATCAATACATGGGCGTCGATAGGGGGCTGTTCAAGTTGAATTTATTTCTCCGCCAACCTTGCGGCCGTACTTCTTATAATGTCTCTCCAGTGGTGGATGATGAAACTCTGGAGATAATGTATGATGTCTGGAACGAAATTGTCCCATACATCGCTGAACTTTATATCGAGAAGGAGGAAATAGTCCAAAATTCTCGAGTCAGTAGCACATTCATTCCACCAACTACCAATATTGGTCCGATGATGTCGCTTGTCCATGCATGCATGGATCCAACTAGGTATCGATCCTACTCTAGTACAGTGGTACCAGAGACAGCATCGGTATCACAACTACCTCATAGGGATTGTGTTAGGGACTTGGTAGAGCCACGGTTCACGTCTGGCTTAAGGACGGATGTTGAATATGTTCAAGGCCTTGACTCGATTCAAAGTTTTGGAGACCCCGTATCGCCGAATCATGTGCCTTCTTATGGCTTCGATTCGACTGCCGGTCCAAGTCATTGTAACACATTCGTAGATGATGATTTGGAAAATGATGTAGAAGATGTGGAAGAATCTGAGTCGGTAGATGTGTCAGGTAGTGACTCAGATGGCGAAAATGAAAGACGTGGAGTCCACCAGGATCTTGGGAACCAACAGCCCTTTGCTGCATCTGCCAACCTTTCGTATGCTCCACGAGGATTCGAATTCTTCTCTAACCTTGGAAACATAGATGATGACGACCAACTCACTGATGAAAGTGAGTTGGAGCGTATTGTGACATTTAGTGAGGATAATAATCACATATGTCTACATATGAGATTTGAGAGCAAACAACAGTTGAGCATGGCTATTAGAATATGGTCTATCAATCATAATAGGGAGTTCAGGGTTGTTGAGAGCAAGAGTAATACTTGGGTTGCCAAATGTAAATCTGCATTTGAAAGGAGCACCACCACTGCGATCGACGTATCGTATCCTCCATGCGACTGGTCAGTCCGAGCAGTGAAAAAAAAGATTCATGGATTGTGGCAAATAACCAAATGGGTCAACGACCATAATTGTGTTGGTGATTTGATGAGTAATAGCAATGCTAGTCTTACATTTTCGATTATTGCTAGACACAGTTCGTAGTATTGAAGATGATCTTGGGTTTAAAGTAAAGAATATGGTAAGCCATGTTAAGGAAATTTTGAAGGTGGATGTCTCTTATAAAAAGGCTTGGTACGGAAGACGCAAAGCTATTGAACTTATATTCGGTTCTTGGGATGCCAATTTTGCTGAACTACCGAAATATGTTGATGCACTTATGCAGTTAAATCAGGGATCTGTGATCAGGTAGTTGCACCATTCTGACAGTACGGATTGTGTGAAGACATTTAAGTATGTCTTCTGGGCTTTTGGACCGGCTATTGATGCATTTCACATGTGTCGACCGGTTATATGTGTTGATGGCACTCATTTGCGGGGCGAATATAAAGGCAAACTACTTGTTGCAGTTACGCAAGATGCCAACAACAAGATTATTCCGCTAGCCTATGCCATTGTCGACGAAAAAACTATTTCTAGTTGGTCTTGGTTCATGGAACAACTAAGATACAATGTCGCCCGTGATCGGTATCCTATTTGTGTTATTTCGGATCGGCATAATGGTATCATCCATGCCATGACACATTATGACTATTGGCAAAAACCTTTGGCCTTTCATAGATTTTGCCTACGACACGTTAGGAGTAACCTAATGACTCACTTCAAAGGCTTG